TAAGGGGAGGGGGTGGGAGGGGGGAGAATAGGGGAACCCATGGCTGATATGTAGAACTGAATGGTATTGTAAAATAAAATATATAATAATAATAATAATAATAATAATAATAATAATAATAATAAATCTTGGTTTTAAGCTTTGTAGCTGACTGCTCTGTTGCGATTCTAGCTCCTTGGTTCCCTAAATCTTTATCTCACGTTGAGGATTTCAGGAGAGAGGGTGGAGTTGTTTTATTCCTTCTGTCTGAATGAAAACAAGTTCCCATGTTTCAGCCGGAATCTTCTTTCCTACTCTAGCATCTCAATGTGTAAAGGGTAGGCCCAAACTCATCATGCAGGCTTGTACTCCATAACTAAGACAGCTAAAGCAGACACAGGGACTCATTATCCCAGATGATAATGCCAGTGTTGTTGTTGTTGTTATTGTTCCTTTGGTTTTGTCCTTTTGTTTTGGTTGGCTCCTGAAAAGTTAGGGACTTTTTGCTTTTTTTTTTTTTTTTTTTTTTTTTTTTTTTTTTTTTTTTTTTTAGCCAAAAACAACAAAGAGGGCTTCCATCCTGCTTCATAGCAGTGCATGGTTTTCCTCAGGGTGAAAACATTCCTAGGAGTAGCTGTCATTGCCTTTAACCTCTTTTTTTTGAAAATAAAAAATAGGGTACTGTTAGGTTATCTGCAGATTCATCTGTCTGATTGTGAGTTCTGCAGACTCCTGGTTCATCTGACCAGCTTCAGTTTTCTTGCAGTTTCTGCCTCAGCAGGAAGCTTGCTCCCTTGGACATTCCTGGGAACCCACACAGCAGTGCCTGGAGATAATTGGTTCCCCGACTCCCCAAGAGATTTGTTCATAGATTGTGATTGTTGCCAAAGCAGATGCAGCTCTGTTTATTTACCCATTTTTGTCCTGTTATGACGGTTTTTTACCCCAGTAGTTAGCATACAATAAGTATGTATTATTATACACAACAACATACATAATCAATGTGACTTCATGTCGATCTATTAAGTCCATATGTACCAAGAACTTTGGGACCATAGTTGAATATAAAATCCTAAAAACACTTGATCTATTCTTATATTAAAAAAAATAGTAATGTATTTGTTCTAATG